CTGAAAAAGTTAACCTCAGACTAGTAAGAACCAGGGGCCTTATAGAAAAAGATTTTTGGAAATTGGGCACCATTTGGACATCATGTCTCTCCCCTCTGTGTGCTAGGGTCTTCACCCCATCTTTGATCGTTCAGAACAGCTATAAACCATGGATGCATTAAGGGAGGACTGGATGCAGCGTCGGAGGCTAGGCTCCATTCATTTCTATGGAAGCTGCTTTCCCAGTAACAAATTACCCAGTTCTCTTCCTGGGGGCCTGCTATAAACTCTTTTGCCTTTAGATGTGGTCAGACAGTACGCCGTGTGAACTAGTTTGTTTTGAGCATCCCGGCCTTGTGTAATGCACTATACTGAAACCCACAATAATGGAGCAAAGCCTGTTGACCACGATTGCAAAAAAAATGTATAATGGGCCAATGAAAATAGTGGGAACACTGGTAATCTATTACGGGTTCTGCCACTATTTGAATCAAGGTGTTATAAAACCAAAACCGCATATCTAGATTTAATTGTGAATTCTTAGCAAGCGTTTGCCTTTAATTTTCAGTTACTACCAGATAGACATACTCCCTTCTATAGTCAGAAACCGAGTACCATATGCATTTGTCCATTAAAGGGGAACTCCTAACCAAGCTGGATGGATGTTAGACAGATGGTTAATCCAATCACCATAAACCGTATTTTTGGAAGTACCTGCCCATTTCCAAATGATGACTTCCCAGATGGTTCTGTGTAACAATCCATTTGGCGCAGTCAGGTTAGGGTGCTCTGCCCATTTTACACATTGAATAAATGTTAGTTACCTTGGTTGCATTAAGGGAAATGTAGGATGCAGTGTTTTTGGAGCTTGACTCATACTAGGGACTAAGCTTCAGGATGTCTCAGTGTCTGCTGCTTTGATTTTGACAAAAGTGTTTTTAAAACTCTATCTCTCAAAAGCCTCCCCAACTTTGTAAAAATGCAACTCTGAAAATCACACTTCATATTATTTCTTTAATATGATTGAGCCTTTTGACTCTCCAGCTCCGCTCTGCCAACATCCACACTAAGGCGGATAAACATAAATCTGTCATAAAAAAATAAAAATGTCCAAATGACTTACATCTACAATAGTGTTTTCAGGTGTGTGTTTTTTTTAGCCTTGTTCCTCCTCTTCTCTCCAGCAAACTACATTTTTGCATTACGGTTATTTTTATCCACTCTGGAGACTGACTTTAAAATACTCTCTAAAACACCGGCTTTAATGTGAAAAGAAGGCCAAAACAGAGAAAGAAGATCGGTTTTCAAATTTAGCCAACTTAATGTGAATGTAGTCTCAGGCTGCCTCTTGTAAGCAATTCAGGCACCAATTAATCACCTGCTGCTTTTCATTCACTCTCGGCCTCATGCTCCTATAGTTCTAGTCTTTACCTCCTCTCCTCATCTCTGACAGATTAAAAGCAGAGCACATAGGAAGTGCCACATCGTGCTGAACCACGCCATCGGAGCTGGCAGCGCAGCAAAGTGTCCAAACAACCTCTCCCCAAACAGTCGCCCGTTCCAGCTCACCCTAATTGGTTGCAAATGCCTTTTACGATGAACCAGTGATGCCTGTGAGGAGTTGTATACACAGCGCCCATGCTCTTTAATTCCACCATGATTGATTTTAAGATTAATTCTGGCTGCTTACAGACATGCAGCTCAATTAAAGTATTTAACGAAGGAGTTGTTATTAATCTTCTCATCTAACACTTGAGTATGTGAGTATTCCTTTCAACCCCAATCATGCTGCAGTGGTCCCTTAAGTACAGAGGCAGGGTTCCTTTTGTCAGAGATCAGAGGAACAGAATTAAAATGTGTGCTAGCCTGCGTAATTGGCTTCCGGTAAACATGTCTGTGGCACTTCATGGTGCAGAATGTGGCATTGATTTGGCTTTTCTCATGATGGTTTTCTAACCGAGTGAAACCTCTCAGATGAGGATCTTTTCATGTTTATGTCCGTCTGCTTTTGGACTCTTCAAAGCGATCACACTCGAGCCAAAATCACAATGTTAATCTGCTGGATGGAAGTGTTTTGTGGATAGAAGGTCTCTGTGAATAGTGCGGTAAACAAGTGTTTGGTTGTGTGTGTGTTGTTTTGCAGTGTGTGAGTGTATTCATTGGTAAATCCTCATGTCTGTACTTGTGGTATGTGAGTCAGTATGCACATTGTTGTCCTGTGCGTGCTGTACGTTTGTGTTTCCAGAGTGTTTGTATATGCTCAGCGTCCAGGTCTGGGTTATGTCCACATGCAGGAAGCGGAGGCTGAGAGTCGTGTCTGTCTGTGTGTGTGTGTGGCTCATCGATGTTGTGTGCCAGCGCCCAATTCCGGCTCGGAGCTGTCAGCCTCCACCCATCGATCAAACCTGGCAACCTGAGTCGCTGACAGTTTTCCACCACTTCCTGAGAAACTCTGCGATCCAGACAAACAAAGTCTGGACTCATATGTCAGGCCGATATTGGTGTTGAAAAAAAAACTACAGTCATCCACCGATGATCTGTTGGACCTTTCATTTCAAGAGCTGCTTTAGTCACACCAGTGCCACAGCAACCATGTGTCCTAGACATTATGTCTATAGTACTAATTTGTTTTGCAAAATCCATTTAGCACAAACTGTAATTGCTGCGTGGAGTATGTTCCTTGGCAATATTCTTTCCAGTAAAACAAGTGCTATGTTCTGGGTACAACAGAAGTTGTTGGCAGTGTTATGCACGTTTACACAAAGTTCAGTTCACACAGATTAAAATGAATTAGTTTATATTCATAGTTTCAAGTTCACAGTCTCAAAAAAATAATGTTCATTTATTCCATTTTTGCTGCTTTACCAAATGCTGTGAGTTTGACTTGAACATTAGCGTGTTCAATGAACACGCTCTTTCAGCCCTTCCGCCACAACACTGGTTGTTACTTGTGGATTGGTGCAGTTTTTTCTCCAAATGTAATGTTTTTGTCATTGTGAGTGGCGAGGCTTTAGGAATGGCAATATTGGTCAGTCGGTTGTTTGGTTGGTTGGTTGGTCCATCACTTTGATCCAGAATAAAACATCTTGACAACTATTGGATGGCTTTCCATGAGATTCACACTCCCCAGAGAGTGAATCACACTGACTTTTCCTGCAGCGCCACCATGAGGTTGACCCTTCTCAGTACAGCAAAAGCTGTCCTTTGTGGCAATTAGCAATTAGCTAACACACTAAGCTAAGATTGTGAACAAGGTAAACATTATACATGCTCAAAATCAACCTGCTAGCATTATCATTTCTGTGACTCACATCAGTACTTCCCCCTATAAAAACATAAGGGTCTGAGTTTATGCTACCTTTGGGTGAACTGACCCTTTAAGTTAGGGCTGATTGCTCAACATCAGGTTATTGTTAAAACAAGAAGACGTAATGTATAGTGCGTAACTGATTCGAATTTTTTGGGCTGTAGTTTGTGGTTTGTTATTGGATTACATAATATATATATATAATGTTTGTCTGTTTATACACCTGCAAGCAGAGAGGAGGGGGCTGCTATCAGTAACATCAGTCTCCAAATATCTTCACGGATATCAGCTGTCAAATTGTTGGACAAAGTGAAGGACAGATAGACAGTCAAACTGACAGACAGGCAGGCAGATAAGGAATGGAAGTGGAATGCTGACAGACAGCAACCATGGTATAAAATGAAATGAGAGGAGACAGACAGGGAGAGAGTGAGGGATGGGATGTTGAACATCAAACCGACATCCTATTTGGCACGAGGAAGAGACAGGGAGAACGAGATGGTCCATACCTGCACTGTGTCATCCTCAGTACAGAGGGAGGAGGAGGAGGAGGAGGAGGATGTGGGCCGGGGTCTTCTTCGCTGCCTGGTGGATCTCCTGCTGTTCACACGGAGGGGGAGGACTGTTTGTTTAAGTGGCTCCGCATGGCAACCACTTGTGAGCGGCTCCTGTGAAAGCCCTCGCTGGCTCAGCGTGGAGGTGGAGGGGGTTGAGGGTACATCCCCAGACGAATAAACACAGACTGACACTCTCCTCTCCTTCCTCACCCCACACCCAACTGGCCCTCCTTACTCCCTGCTGCGTGTCCCCCATTACTGCACCGTAATGCTGCTGGGGGTACTCTTGTACCTAGGATCTATCTAACACATTCATTGGTATCCAAAACTAGAAGTAATCAATCAAAAAGTCATCATCGTCATCATCGCCATCTTAGCCATTCGCCATCATCAGTCATCATCGTCGGCTGTTTGGATGCAGTAACCTGCTGTCCTTTTATCTTCTCTCTCCCCCACTACTGTAATAACACTTTCACCAGCCACTTTATTTAGCCGCTCTGACCTCCAGCCTCAAAAGTTTCAGTGGCGCCCAACAAGGTCAGGTGACACAAGTGGAAAACAATGTGGGAACTTATGACTCAAAATGCAAAGGAAAGATACCCTCTTCATTTCTTTAAAAACCTGCATTGTTAAAAGCATAGTTCAGGTTTTGGGAAGTATGGTTGAATGATGTTCTTATCCGTACAGTACACGGCCCCCACTTTGGAAGTTAAGCAATGTTCTGCTGCTTAAAAAACTACTACGACTCCTGGTACCGTAAGCACCTCATACAACCCCATTTTAGCTTGCCCAAGGATTATTTTTGGTGACAGACATTTGGCGTCACTGTGCAAAACTAAAACTTTACACTTCACATCCCTGAATGCCACTAAAGATGCCTTAAAAAGTCAAATGTCCAGTGATCGTCAGGAAGGACTGTGTAACATTAGACACAATGTCACACCACTGACAAGAAAACACTCAATAAATCACAAACTTTGACCACACCACTCACAGTTTTATGTTGCAATGATGTATGATCTCCCTCTGGAAGGACGAACTGCTTCAGAAAGAGGAAAACAAGCCTCTGTTACTCAGACTGTGTACAGACAACAGCAGCATTTCTTAAAATAATAACCTTTTGAATTTCAGTAACACAACCTCCTTTCTTTTTTCAGACATGGACGAGTGTGAGAATGACTACAATGGGGGCTGCGTCCATGAATGCATCAACATACCTGGAAACTACAGGTGCACCTGCTACGATGGATTCATGCTGGCCCACGACGGACACAACTGTCTGGGTAAGAACAATAAACACACACATTCCTCCTCTATGTGTGTGTTTCTGTCCCTGGCTTTAGGGACTAGGTACAGAATACGTCACATCAAAAGTACACCCCATAAAGGTCTTGTTGTTTATAAAGAGCTGAGACTTAGGCTATGTTCCCAGTAAAAGCACAAGTGGCTCAAATCTAATTATTATTATATATTTTTTAATCGTATGTGATGTGATCCAGATCTGTTTAATTCATGACAGTGCGAACGGCAATTCGGATATGGGCCATCTTCATATGTGTTTCAAATCAGATACAGGTTTGTTGCAATGTGACCTCAGTGTGATCAGACATGTTCACTGCAACGCATTCCAACTGCGACACGGCTCCCGGAGCTCATCGCAGCCGTTCTGTACAATGATTGTGATTCCCTCGAAAAGCACTGCAGCGTCCAAGTGTCCCCAAAGCAGCTCTCCGTTCTGCTCCGTAGAGAATATGTGTCTGGTCTCGAGTAGACTGGCTGGCAGGAAGTCAGACACAGAAATAGCATAGAGAATCCGGTCACTTTTCAAAATAAAACACCCTGTGCAGATCTGTGCAGAACAGTTTAACTATGTGCCTTACTTAAACATGGCAGAAGCTCATAAATCAAGGAATAATGTCAGAATCTCATCTAAAGTTAACTAAATCTGGCAGGCAAAGCACTCTGCTTCAGAAACGTTTCTGGTGGGACATGAAGTCGCGTGCAGATGTGACGTCTTCATGTGTACTGGGTGTGTGTCCATGCATCCATCTGATTCAGTGTATGATTGTGAATAGATATGTCTGTCTGTGCTTAAGAGAGTATACTCAAGGGTGCGTGGATGTTCCTGAGTGTGTGTGTGTGTGTGTGTGTGTGTGTGTGTGTGTGTGTGTGTCCGTATCCCGTAAGCCCGTCTGGCTCAGCTTGCCTTTCTCCAGAGAGTCCCTCTGTCATCATTTGGAGGGTTTCCATGATTTGTGCTGTTTTGTGCTTGTTTCCCTGTACTGTTGGGAGGGCTGTCGGGGTTGAAGAGTTCTCCTACAGATATCTGGCTGTGCTTTATTACTGACAGATCCAGCCCATTTAGCCCCAGTGCTGCGTTATTGACTTAGTGTCAGCCAGACTAATGTTTTTTCTGTCCTGTGCAACATGTAGTTCTGCACGGATGTGCTCAAACACATTTCATCCTGTCAGTCCTCCACCGCTGACTGACGAGAGCTAAAATCAGGGACATAAAAAACATGTGATTTTGGATGCCCATGTGTCTTTGGTGGGATATGTTTTGGCATTTCTAAGTGCTGTGGCTCATTCTTTGAGCCTTTGGAGAGATTGAGTGAGAGATTGAGTGCTAATAGCAGCAGCCAGCAGCAGTGCAGAATAGCTGCTGAGTTGTGGATTCACCTCACAGGAATGACTTTCAGACAGCTGATATAAAGCAGAGTTAAAGACGCCCTGCCATCAGAATTCAACATTTCCTCCATGCACAAACAAAGATGTTCAATGAAAACACTGTTAAAAATCTATGCCATGCCGAGGTTCCAACTGGCCTCTGGTTTCTACTGGATAAATAAAGTTTGGCCACACTAATACAGTTATGTTTTAGAGGAATTAAACTGTCATTAGTCACAAACTTGATGAAAACATTTTTTTGCACCACATTTCAATTGCCAAACACTGCAGATATTAGGCAACTAGTACATTTCTGTTTTAGCTTCCAGATTTAATTTGGAACATCCAAATTCATTTTGTGAAATAAAAGGTCCAGTGTGTAACATTTAGAAGGATAACATTGATAGGTATGTTATAGTGTATAATTAGCAGAATTTAAGAATTTTATTTTTGTTCCCTTAGAATGAGTTGGTTTGTGTTGTGTGAAAAGAAAAATAGATCACTCAGAACTCAGAGTTTAAATACTATAAGTAGGACTCTAATTGTAACATACTGTATTTTGTTTACAGTACAATAGAACTATGTTGATTTCATCTTCAGTGAAAGTAATTGTGTCTGATACTGTTCTGATACTGAGTATGTCAGTATTGAGAATAAACACATTTGTTTGAGTCCCCATTGCATTTGTGTTCATATTTACAGATGAAAACGTCAAAGACTCTAGATAATAGTGTTTTATACTCGGCACATGAGTGTGCAGTTGTCATGTGGAATGAGCTTGAGTTTATATAGGTTTTAATGTGTAATGTGAAAGTGTTTGCTTTTGCAAGAAATATTTTGTATTTTGTGTATATGTTTTTGGTTTTGTATGTGGGGTTTCGACAAAGAGGCCCGCAGTGTCAGAAATTGTGTTGTTAGCAAGTGAAAAACTGTAAGTCAGCATCTAACGGCCATTAAAGGAACTGCAGTTTAGGACATTCCCATGGGAGCTTTAGCTGTGGACGTTGTATCGGTATCCAGAAGGTAACGATGAACAGTGTGTCAAACCTTATCATACTGAGAGACTTGATGGCAGCAGCTATAAAAGTGAGACCAGATATGTGCTTGAGAAAAAAAGGGATGGTGCCACTATAATTGTGTCTGACAGTGTTTTGTGTTGTTTATTTCCTGCTGGCTTGTCTCTAAATGGGCCCTGACTGTCTACAGCCGTTAGCTCACTGGTTAGCTGCTGTGTCGTTTTATGTGTCGCGGTCAACTGGAGGAGGATTTCACCACACGTGTTTGTGACGCTAATTCAAACGATACCAACTGAGTCATGTGAGAACTGTCATCACCTGCTCTTTACGGCCTGGCGGGAGGAAGCCAGCCCGCGTCTGACTTAAACCCAGAGACTTGCTTTATTGGATGTTGACTGGATGCGGCCTTAATGAAGTTCCCGCTAATTAAAAGTGGGTTAACTGAGTTCAAACAAGGCAGTAAAGCATGAAATCAGATGCAAGATCTGTGTGATCGCAATCAAATCAATTACAGGCTGTGTGACACATCTTTTCCTTTCTTTTGGCTTCTTTAGACCTTCCTTTCGGTTCTCTTTCCGTTCTTTATTTTACTCTTTGTTCTTTCTTTTTCTCATTTGGTGTTATTCATTGCCTCATCTCTTGCCGTTCTTTATTTTCTTTCTCCTCAGTTTTAATCACTGCCTCATTCTTTTTTCTGCTTTTCTCTTTCCCTTTTTCACACTTTTTTCCATTCATTCTTTTCTTTTCTCCATTGCTTTTCCATTCCACTTTTCCTATTTTTGTGCCTTTTCCCCTTTTCTTTATTATCTATCGTCATGTTCTTTGTCCTGTTCCAACAGTTGTTGGTTTTTCTTTTTACCTTGTCTTCTTCTCACTTGACTTCATTCCTTCCCTTTGTCCTTTCTTTCCCTCCTTCCATCCTGTCCTATGTATTTTCTTCCTTCTATTCTCATTCCTTTCATTTACAACTTCTCCTCTCCATTCTTCAGTGATGAAGTTCTTCTCTCTTTGATGTCTTTATTTTTGAACACTTGCACTAAAACAGACTGATAGAGGAGCCTTCTCTCTATTACTGTATTCTCTCTCTCTCTCTCTCTCTCTCTCTCTCTCTCTCTCTCTCTCTTCCTCCCAGTGTGTCCCTGCCCCCCCGCCAACTGTCTATATAATTCTCTTTATTTCTCTCTCTTTGCCTTTTACTGTCTCTCACCATCTGCCATGCTCCACCTATTTTTCCATCTACCTCACTCTGGATATTTGTCTTATTTTCTGTCTTTCTCTCTCCATTTTTCCTTCCTCTGATCCGTTATACTCTTCCTGTCTGTCTGCTGACCTTGTACCAACTTTCATCTAATTACCCTAATAGCTGTCTGCTGTCCTTTCCTTTTACTTTAAATCTATTTGTCAGACAGATGCCTGAATGTTTTTACTGGACTTTCAACCATCATCAGGTAACAGCAGCAGAGGTATACACTGACGAGTCACTCTGTTGCAGGGAATGATCTATAGATATAAATATGAATGTATTTGACAACCTGTTAGCCCAGCAAACATTTCAACTTTAAAAATCATTTGTTCTGGACATTCATGACCTAAGTTAAATTATCATTAAGCACAGTACACAAGTGATGTACAAATGTATTGGACGGATTAAAATTTACTCAGGACGCTGATTCTCCCAAGATGATGTTGACCTTTCCTCCAGTAGAGACCTTATGGAAGTCCTCTGTCTCCACTATTGTATTCCTTCCTGTCAGCACTAGCAAAGGGGATGTGTTGCACTGTGTAAATTGACATCTGCTGCTTGTGATCACCCTTACCTGAATTTAAGCAGTGACTGAGCAGTTTTATAATGTATCATATAGTGTGAAAGAAATGTACAGACTTTCCTCTACAGCAGTCTGACAAATACCTGGCGGCTTAAATCAGATCAGTTCTCTTGCACAGCTTTGTTATTAGCTGGTCATGTTACTGTTACAATAGTCCTGCTGGTAGTGCTGGTATCTATTCAAAACACGTGTTAACACAATATTTCTACATCAGTCACAGCTGAGACTTATTTGGAAACAGTCCAGTTTTACATGACATGGCCGTATTATTACACACTAATCCTTCAAAATGATTTTACTGATGAAATACATGTACATACTAATACTTAATAATGTACTGCTGTAGCATAAGCTAGTTAACACGTAATGTAACTGCATCAAAGCAGTCTTTTTTGGGGCCTTTTATTGCCTTTATGGGATAGTGACAGCTGTAGATAGACAGGAAAGGGGGCCAGGGAGAGAGGGGATGACATTCAGCAAAGGGCCACAGGTCAGAATCGAACCTGGGCCACTGCAGCAACTCCGTACATGGGTCACCAGCTCTACCGACTGAGCTAACCGGGCGCCCCTCAGAGCAGTCTTTTTAATCTGATTTCTGTGTTGGTGCCAGGTCATATGACCTACATATAAATGTGGACATGGGTTCCTGACTTTGGCAAATATACCAGGTTGGGTTGACTGATCAGGAGCCAGACTTTTTACTTTTTACTATTTACTACAGCCGTGTAAATATAGTTATAGACTGTTAAGAGACAAAACTGGAACTGGAACAAA